AAAAAAACTTGGTTTTTGATCAGCTAAATCGGTAGATTAAAAACCAATGGAAGTGCTCATGCCCCGGCGTTGCGCAAAGTCAGATCAGCGACAGAAAGTGATGGGACATATACGAGTCGGACTCGGACTCGGCTATGTCTCTGGACACTGTCGGCTGGTCTTGCCGCTGGTCTGGCCGCTGTCGGTGGCTACGCCTATGGCTTTGGACGCTGTCAATGGCTCAGCTCCTATAAGGAATGTGTGGAGCGGATGCTGGGATTAATGTCAGGGCTGCGAACTGCTATCGGTTTTCCCGGTAAATGGACACGGCTGCCCATCTCAAACGGCGCCTGTAGCGGACCCGATCAGGTCTGCATGGTTTGAGCACGTATTTGGTGCAATGGGAATATTTGATATCCACTCATTTAATGGTCACAGACCATATCTAGAAATAGATTATCCTCCTCCTCCCTCCCCCCCCCCCTCCGGGAGACGATTGCAGGATCAGCGCGTCGCTGAGGGCGCTGTAATTTATTTTCATACACATGAATGCCATGAAGGTCATGAGAAATGAGAGCCAACACATTTTTGGAGGGATATTGAAATAATTCCTGGAATCATTTGATGAATGAGCACTAGATAATCCGATTCCAAAGGGATTTATAACAGCTCTACACACAAAGAACATAAAACGTCTGATTAACTTCCTGCTGTGTTTCAGTTTTTCGCCGGGAAACAAAATGCTAAACGGATCAGGCGATATAACAACTGATTTCGCTAATTCTTCTTAGATCTCTCATGAAATGTTGGGACTGCTAGCAAAGCGCTTCCTGTATAGACTTTGCAAATTGCAGGCAGGCCAAGCTTGGTTGGCCAGTCAATAGTAGTCCTATTTTGTTGCTACACATAAACACCTCCCAATATCGGACCGGATGCCGCGTGTCGCCATCGCTCTCACACTCTGCGACAGTATCCTCTATTGTAGGCTCGTGTCTATACGGCGGGACCCCGGATCCGCCAGTGGTGTCTATACGGCGGGACCCTGGATCCGCCGCCTGGATCAGCGTCTGAGGGGCTCAGCCCGGACCCGAGGGAGTCACAGCCGCAGGTGGAGCCGCCGACTGACCAGATATGGGGGGGGGAGGAGGGGGACGCGGCTGGTCAAAGAGCCGCCGATTGACCGACTGAAGGGGGGGGGGAAGTCAGAGAGAGAGGGAAGTCAGAGGAAGGGGCGGCTGGTCAGAGTCCCCGACTGACCACTGACCGGCTGCAGTGGGGGAGGGGGGGGGGGGGTCGGTGACAGAGCTGGGGGTTTGTGGGGCGGCCGAACGCTGCCGGTACCCCAAAACGATAGAGCTCGGCCAGGGGTGTAACGGTGGTGAAATAGCGCAACAGATGAGTCATAGAAAAGGAGAGGGCTGATGCAATGGTAGCGAAATGATCCGAAAAACATTCAAACAATGTGGTGGTTTGAGCGTCTGAGTTTCAAGCTCAAAGCCGTGTTGTTTTTCAAGCTTGTTCATAATAATATCAACAATTTCACAATCAGCAAAAGAAGGTCATGTTTTTTGTTTTTGCAAAGAGAGTAGTTTGTCTGAAATAAAGTTTCTTTCTATGTTAAAATAGTTCCTAAATAACCTAGCGAAGTCTCAGAGACCCACCACGCTCCTCATGTAGCGACTATCGGCAGACCGGAAGGGCAGACTTCCCGTCGGCTGCACGCGCTGCCCGCCGCACTTCCGGCCAGGGATAATTCGGACGAAACGATCGGTGTCTGCCGCCCGAAAATTCGGTTTGTCTGTAAAATCGGTCTGCGTTGCGTCACTCACTCAGGATGCGTCGTCGAGCCGGCTCGTCTCTATCGTTATGAACCGCACACTTCAGTTCAGTTCTTAGAATAAAGCTCAGTATGTCAAAATATATTAGTGAATTTAGCATTAGTGAATACGAAAGTGATCATTGATACTCGTAATGTAACATTCTTGTATCATAAATTAATTTGCTCAACTCATTCTTATGATGACACAAAAAGGAATGTGTGGAGTTTTTGTGCTCTTGCCATTATGAGTTTGAAGTGATCTATGTTTAGTGACAAATAGCAAATCTGTTCCGTTGCACCGAAATTTGTTTAAATCATTAATTAATTAAGTACTGCCGGATCTGAAAACAGGCGTGCTTTTCTATGAGGACATTTCATCCGGAGAATTCTGTCATATCTCGTGGTGTCCCGTCAGATATACTTTCTGCTCTTTATCAGCGCCACGCGCGAAGGTCACTTCTCTTCTAAGCTTATATTGGCTCCTGGTCGTTTACCGAGTGGTGCATTGTCGCAAGGACCGACGGAGCGGTGGTAGCGTCTCTGTTTCCGGTCCAGTGATTGGACGGACGTCGGGCAACATGCTTTGGTACACGACTGTGCCGGTACGGTACAGGTGTACTGGTGTACTGACTGTGCCAGTTCTGAGTACATAGGAGCCGACAGAACAGTAGTAGGGGGTCCCTAGTCGGCCGCTGAACGTACTGAGTACACAGGAGCGGACAGAACAGTAGTAGGAGGCCCCTAGTCGGCCGCTGAACGTACTGACTACACAGGAGCCGACAGAACAGTATAGGTAGTAGTTATAGGTCCCTAGTCGGCCGCTGAACGGACAGGCACCGGTGCTCGGCCTTGGCGATCGCGGCGCACGGCTGCACAAGTGCAGAGCGGATTTACCCGGCCGAAGGGATCCGGTATACTAGAGATGTCAATCGGATACCAACTTTTTGGTATACCGATACCAAACCGATACCGACTTGGTATTTGGTATTCTAATCCTAATGTGTTTGGTATGTTGTTGATATTATGGATCCTCGCTAATGTATAAAAGGCTGTGCATTAAATTTGGTCAAAACTTATTATTTTCATCATATTTCCTAATTGGTTCGGTTTCGGTATTTTCCTACGGTTTTGGTTGGCATTAGGTTTGGTAATGGTTTTCAGATTTTCTGTAACTGACATCACTAATCGGTACCCCCGGTTGTGTCGGAAACGAGATGGGGCGAGAGGGAAGATATGACTGATATGCTCTGGTATCTGTCGTATCTGGTGAGATGATACTCAGGTAAAGACGCATCTGAAGGGGAAGGGGTCCTGCGCATCTGGCATATCTGCGCATCTGTCCGTGGTGAAGAAGTAACGGTTGGCGTATTCAGGTCGTGTAGAGGTTATCTGACGTATCCAGAGTTATTGTGTCGCAATGGCAGTTTATTACCTCCTAACCGTCAAGCGTTCCAGTTGCTTTGGGATAGTAATATGACTAGCCAGGTTTGTGTTGAAATTGTGACACATATCATCACTTCCAGCTGGCGACATCCCGCGCCCCGTAGGGGGGCCGAAACGCCCCCCTGTCCTTTTCGGTCGATATCTCCTAAACGGCTGGAGATATCGCCACTAAACTTTCAGAAACCCTCCTGGCATCAATTTTACACATTGTGACCAAACATTTTTTCCAGAGGCTGTGATAGGTTGGCCACAAATGACGTCAGAATGACGTCATATTCTGTCATTTTCGACCGAAAAAAGACCTTCGCGAGAAGACCTGTCAGGCCTACAGCTTTGAAGATACAAAAAAATGATCAAAAAACATAAAAGGTGTAGAATTGACAGGGCTACAAAACATCAATCTCGGATTTTTAAAATTTTTGAGTTTTGACCCCCAAAAATCAAAAAAGCATTTTTTATATATTAGCCAAAAAAATCCATTTTTTTTTGAGTTTCGAGAAACCAGAATATATTTAATAGTACCTACCGTCTTCTATCTACATACCAAATCTCAGATCGATATCTCGTTTTTTGGCCAAGTTATAGCGAAAAAACTGTTCAAAAATGATGACGTCAAATTTTCAAACCCAATTTTTGGCAATTCTAGAACTCGTAGAGCAAACCAAAGACCACCATTAGACTCCCCGTGACGAGCTGCATCGAACTGATATCTATTTTATGCAAAAATATCAACTTTGAAATTTGACCTAATTTGACCTGACCTTGACCTGACCTTCACCAAAACGTGACCTAGGCTGGCCCCAAAGGCTGCCTAACCCACATAATCGTATTTGTCATGTAAAATGGACCATAAAACATGTATCACACGACACTTTCATATTGTGACCCCCGGTGACCTGACCTCACTGTGACCTGACCTGGTATCAGTGACCTCAGATAGCAAAGTATGTGTTTGACGAACAATGTACCATCGATGGTTTTCAATTAATTACCAATTTACTCGATTTCATAACACATTTCTTGAAATGCCTGTGAAGCGGTGAAAATCTGACCTTTGAGACCTGACCTGTGACGTCATCGGTTTGACCTAGGTCAATGAAATTTGGTCACAAGGTAGTTCCTGGGTGGGGCTATCGAACGCCGTTTGAATTTTGAAAATCGACCGGTAAATTTCCGAGATCTTAGGGGGGGGCAAACGCCCCCCCCCCCCTACGGGTGGTAGGGTCCGCCGATAGCCCTACGGGGCGCGGGCTAAGGACAAAAACTGAGCAGGGAAGTAAATGACATTGCAAGGCATTTCGCACGATTTTTAATCTCTTTACGATTCTCATTATCTTCAGTAGGCTGCTGAGACGAAACTTAGGAAGAATGTTATTGGGCAGGGACGCAGACGATTGCTAGTAACGAAAATCGCAACCCTTCAAAATGTCGGGGATTTCTAGGACTCTTTACTTTCAGAGAGGATCTCGCATTGGGTTACTGGACGGGATGCCTGGCGCCCTCTAACTAATCAGTAACGTATGATTAAAAACAATAACACCAGGACGGATAAATAGCACGCAGGTCTGCAGGTCTGGGACCACTGATGACCCTTCGTATCCCCTCTGTTTTCGGGTGTCACCGCGCGGGACAAAGTGCTGACCCTCCCGTCCCCCTGTTTCCAGAATGTTTGATATAACTGACTGCCCCCGTCCCCGGTGTTTGCAGAGCCTGACACTGTGCCTATATAACTGACTGACCCCTGACCCGGTGTTTGCAGAGCCTGACACTGGGGAACCGGTTCGGCGGAACAGACGCCGAGGACAACAGCCTCATGGAGGCCTGTGCCACCGTGGTAAGAATACGACGGACAGTGACGTCAGTGGCCGTGTGCTCCACCGCACCTGGATGACCTCGCCCTGTTGCTGTGGTACCTGCCTTGTTGAGCCTTGGTGACCATAGGTTGCAACGTTTCCATACCTTAGGTTGGGACAAATATTTAACGCCTTTCAAAATTTATGTGAGTTATCATCATCGCTCATGTGGTCAAACGCCTTTCGCCCTAGGAAGTTGATGCTTTTATTTTTAGCGTTTTACATAAAATGCCAAATTTGACCTTATCTTATGTTGCTTTGCATGTTATGTCTTACCAAAGGCCGTACGTAAAATATAATGTACCTAATTATTTCACTGGTAGAGTTTTTGACACGCCTCTCCTGTGACCACAGGAGGACTTTATCTACCCGACAATGGCGAGAAACGTCGAGAAGGAGTGGAAATTTGTGGCCAACGTGGACTCGATGACTCAGAGCATTCGCGTGGAAAAGTGCCAGTGAGTACCTCACACAGAGCATTCGCGTGGAAAAGTGCCAGTGAGTACCTCACGCAGAGCATTCCCGTGGAAAAGTGCCAGTGAGTACCTCACGCAGAGCATTCGCGTGGAAAAGTGCCAGTGAGTACCTCACCGCGCGCAGAGCATTCGCGTGGAAAAGTGCCAGTGAGTACCTCACCGCGCGCAGAGCATTCGCGTGGAAAAGTGCCAGTGAGTACCTCACCGCGCGGGGAGCGCTCAGAACGCCGAATGACTTCGCCTCAGATATGACCGCTGTTACTAGTCGCAACTACTTACCATCGAATGTCCAGGCGTTGGGAAACCAACCTATGCATGTCTAATCGCTAGATGAAGGACCAAATTACTGATGGGATGCAATGACAATTAGATTCATGCATAAAATAGTTGACGTGGTTGGCTTTTATCGAGACAAAGTATCAAGTCCTGTATTGAAACAATGTCATCTATGCCACAAACTTCTGAAGCTTTTTTGAGCATTTATAATGAATCTAGCCTCGATAAACTGCACAAATACTGCACCATTCGAGACTCGAACCCGGGACCTTTGTGTGACCGCCAGGGACGAGGGCAAGCCGTGCAAGATCAGCGAGACGGGGACGATCTGTCGCCAAAAGTACATCTACCGCAAGCTGTTGGCCATGGACGGCAACCAGCGGCTGGAGGCGGACAACTTCCGCATCCCCAGCACCTGCGTTTGCTACATCAAGTGAGTCGGCAGTCCACAGTCCGCACCGTGCCGTCAGCAGTCCAGTGTCCGCAGTCCAGTGTCCGCAGTCCGCAGTCCGCAGTCCAGTGTCCGCAGTCCAGTGTCCGCAGTCCAGTGTCCGCAGTCCAGTGTCCGCAGTCCAGTGTCCGCAGTCCACTGTCCGCAAAACACAGGACATGTAACGGTCAGCAAGTGCCCAGCTCGCCTCCTTCGGACCAGTCAAAGGTTTCTGAGCCTCCTGTACAGAAAATCCGTCACCCCACGATTGTCGACTTTGCCGACCAATTACAGCCACAATCCATTTGGGGACGCATAGGTGACGGTCAATTTACAAAAAGAAAAAAATCCTCCGCAATTCAGCACTCTTTCAACTCCGCATCGCTCGATTTCCTCGCAGCGCAATCCATGGCTGGCAGCGGACGCAGTGCAGTCCGCGGCTGGCAGCGGGCGCAGTGCAGTCCACGGCTGACAGCGGACGCAGTGCAGTCCACAGTGACAACGGATGCAGTGCAGTCCACGGCTGACAGCGGACGCAGTGCAGTCCACGGCTGACAACGGACGCAGTGCAGTCCACGGCTGACAGCGGACGCAGTGCAGTCCACGGCTGACAGCAGACGCAGGGGCGGATCCAGGAATTTTCGGGAGGGGGGGCGGCAAGTCGAAATAGGGGCGACCTGGCAATCCGGGGGCGCTCCATACAAAGGGGGCGCCAAACCGTCAAAATCGGGAGCTAAAAGCCCGCGCCGTGCTAGGGGGCGTTATCGCGCTCCCCCTCAGGTTTTTCGCAAATATCTGAAAAACGGCTGCGCGCAGCGCCGCCATTTTCAGCATACCTTATCATGCATCTTTTTGCACATGTAAAAATGTCTGACGCGGGTGATGGAAGGTCAGGTCACCAGGTTATGCCAAGTGAACTAGCCTAAGAAAAAGTTCAAATGCTTACCATTGCTATACCGACTGAACGATTGCTTTGAACCTTTCAGCGATTGATGAAAGCAACACCATTCATGAAATGTATATCTCGGAATTTCGATATCTGTGACCTAAGGTCAGGTCAGTTGTGCGACGTCTCCATTAGGTAGGTAGGTATAATTAAGTCTTTGGGAGAAACTGAAAGGCATCTCTTTTGGACGGGCGCCATTCTAGACAATATCAATCATTGGGATACATATAAAATTAACACACTGAATAAGAACATTGCACCTAGTGTGACCACTCATTATGTCCCAGAGGTCATCCCATGTCATGAAAGGTCCGCAGCAGTTTTTTTTTTAATAACTTTTGATAGATTCAAGCTAGAGCGATAAAAACACCTCAGCTGTGTTCAGCTCGACGATAATCGACTGCTATGCAGCATTACCTTTCCCGGTCAGGTCATGACCTTGACCTGAGGTCAAATTCTCAAAATTACCCTTCATAAGGTCAACCTTTAGTTTGTTCGACTTGTCTCGACGACAGAAACGCAATGCTGGCAAACGTTATGTCGAGACCCAAGTCAAAAGTCAAAAGTTATTGCAGGAAAACATTGTTCGTAAAAAGGCTATTTTTAGAGTCTTTTGCCCTCTGAAGGCTAAACCGTTGACCTGAGGTCAAATCTGAGCGCAGCTTGCAGAAACACCTTTAAAAGGGCTATCGAATGCGCTTTTCTGCGGCGCTATAGCTCTATTGGTTTCCGAGTTATGTGCCGCTGCTTCGAAAACGGAGAAATGTTGAAACAGGCAACATTTTACCTTTGATGACCTCTGGTGACCTGACATTCGACCTGACCTAAAAAATGACCGTTTTGTTTTCGTCCTGTTTTTTGACGATCTCTCGAATGCCGCTTATCGCGTGTCACTACGCGGCCCAGGAGCCGAGTTAAGACGAGGGAGTGTGCCCCCCCCCTCCCCAGCAGGACACGGAAAACTCAGACCAGCACGGCACGGGTTAAAAGTCGTAGATGGGCACCGCTACCCTAGCAAAAGATATTAGCAAAAAGGTGGCCTCCATTTACTGGTGCAGTCCTCCTTCTCCCGGTGATGCCCCCCTCCTTTTTCTGGAAGCGTCTCACTTATGCTGGTATGCCTCACTTCCCGGGGGCGCCCAACCTCTGCTTGGATCGCCTAATCCATTATGGAGAGACCCACTTTGCTTAAGTCGCCTCATTTCTTCCTTCTAAGAAAGACCAATTTGCTGTAGGCAGCCCACTTATCTGGGACGCCCATCTTCTGCTAGAAGTGCCCCTCTTCTTCCTGATGCGTCCCACTTCTACTACGAGTGCACCTTTTCTGTGCACCCTTTGCTGCTGAGGAGTCTTTTCTACTGTGAATAGGGCGGCCCTCTCCGTTAGGCGACCCCAAATTCTGCTGGAGGCGCCCCACTTCTGCCCAACTTTTGGTGGGGTGCCCCTCTCTTGCAGGGGGCACTTCTCTTTTGCTGGAGACGCCACTCTTGTGGGGGCGCCCTTCCACTGCGGGGAACGTCTCTCTTCTGCCAGAGGCCCCCTTTTCTTCTTATGGGGCTCCTGTTTTTTTTTTTTTCTGGGGCGAAGCGACCCTCTGCTCCTCGGAACGGGGCACACCTCTCCTTTTACTGGGGCACCGCCCCTCTGCTGGGGTTGCCCTTCCGCTGTCGTCAGGGGCGCCCCTCTTGGTAGAATATACTCCTTTTCTTTTTGTAATGGGGCGCCCCTCTTCTACCGGGGGCGCCCATCTGCTGCTGGGGCGTCTGTCTTCTGCCGGATATTGTCAATGGGGCGGCCATATCCTGTTTGGCGGGCCCAACCTCTGCTGGAGGCTGCCTATTTCTGATTAACTTTTGCTGTGGCGCCTCTCTTCTGCTGGGGCGCCCCTCTTCTGCTTGGGGCGCCCGTCTCCTACTGGAGACCCCTCTCTTCTGCTGGGGCGCCCCTCTTCTGCCAGTGGCACCCATTTTCTTATTATGGGGCTCCTTTTTTGCTGGGGCGCCCAGCTACTGTCAGGGCGCCCCTATTCTCGGAATGGGGGCGCCTCTCTCCTTTTGCTGGGGCGTCGCTCCTCTTCAGGGGGACACGTCTCCTGCTAAGGGTGCCCTTCCGCTGCCAGGGGCGCCCCTCTTGAACAGAAGGTATTTTATATTATTGTAACGAGACGCCCTCTTCCATCTGCTGCTGGGGCGACTCTCATCTGCTGGGAATAGGCAATTGGGCGTCACTCTCCTGCTTGGTGAGCCCAACTTCTGCTGGAGGCGCCCTATTTCTGCTGAACCTTTGCTGTGTCGCCGCTCTTCTGCTCGGGGCGCCCTCTCTGCCGCGGGATATGGGCGCCTTTTTCGGATGGCGGGGGGGGGGGGCCGCCCCCGTCGCCCCCCCCCCTGGATCCGCGCCTGAGCAGACGCTATATTGGCCATTCGCCGCCGGACTTTGTCCAAAGAGGCGGCAGTGCGGCCACCTAGCGGACCAATCAGAAATCAGCGTCCCCCGACTCCGGGCTGAACTGGACACTGTGGCTCCCAGCCTTCAGGCCGATCAGATCACAGCGTGAGCTCCCATGCGATACCTATGGGCTACCTCCTACTATACATGCCGCCGGTTGTGATTTGCTTTTTATGCATGCAAAACCCCATTAATTCTCTGGTTGTTATGAATCGTCGGGTCGCTGGCCTGTAGCGTGTTGGAAACTGACTTTTCAGTTCTGCCTGACGCTTGTGTTTGTCTTACATCTGTTTGTCTTACGTCTGTTTGTCTTACGTCTGTTGTCTTACGTCTGTTTGTCTTACGTTTGTTGTTTTACGTCTGTTGTCTTACGTCTGTTGTCTTACGTCTGTTGTCTTATGTCTGTGTGTCATGTTGTGCCGTATCCGCTGCTGGGTTTCTGCTACATCTGACACTGGTCCCGGCTCCTCACAGGAACGCGTTCCTGCTGAACTCACGGTTCAAGGACACCACCGCCTCCAACAAGTCGTCGCGCCGGGACAAGCGCCGCTCCCGCTCCCGCTCCCGGTCCCGGCGCCAGACGGCGGACAGCGGGTTCGCCTTCTCCGGCGGAGAGACCGACGGTGAGAGAAACTGCCGGGGTGGCCGGGTGGGTGGCGGCTGACCCGAGCGATGGTTACAGCGTGCGCCTTTGGGGTAGTTCAGTTCGTTTTATCAGTGCATTTGGAGTACTCTGATATGACCAAACATAGCGCGGATCCCCCCAAAAGTGCGTCCCCTGCTACCTTGCGTGTATTTTATATGGAAGGCAACTGATGCCTATAATTATTCTTACGAAGAGTTGGCATGTAGTGTAAATGAAGCCATCTTGTTGAAGGGGTTTCTGATTCACTGTTCAGAATCCATTTGTGTGAGGACGACATCACCCCACAACCCGTTCAGTGCGCCATGCCACGTCTCTGACCCCGTCCATGTCGTCCGGCAGGTCTGAGCGGCTCGCCGCTGGACAACTCGCTGTCTGGCGGCGCGCCGGCGCAGGGCACCGCCCAGCAGAGCATCGAGACGGAGGACACGCTCAGTCCCTCCGACACCATCGGCAGGCAGAAGGTCCGCTTCGCCGGAGAGATTGTCGTCGAGTCCAACCCCATCATCGTCCAGAAAAAGCCGCCCAAGTCGGCCGGCCGGCGGAACTGAGCGCGGCGCCACCTGCGGAGGACGGCCACAAGCTGCAGTTCCGAATCCTGCCGCCGTGGCGCTGCTGTCGGCGCGGGGAAATATGGCGGGTGTGGCGGTTATTTCAAATGTGGCTGGATCTGGCACGGGATCCGAGAGATCTGAAAGTGATTGTGTGTTTCCGGGTCAAATGTTTAAGCGAAGGCCCTGAAGGCCTCAAAGAGACAGTTTCAATGTCTAAGAGATATAATTTCCAGGCGAATGAAGTGTCAAAAATGCACCGAGCTAGAAAATGGAGCCAGTGACGAGGCCATTGTTCCACCATTCATTGCTAAATGTATTTTCCGGAGGAGCATTGCTGGGCCGGGCCCGCATTAGAAGACGGAAGATATCTCGCAGGAAACTGATTTTGGAGTTAAATTTGTTTCGGTAGTACAACCAAAAAAAGGGAAATATATTTTCAATCATTAATATTTTTATTGTGCTTGTGTGTTAAGTTGATAACAGTAGGTATGTACCTATAAACATTCACCTTTTATAATTAGACCGAGACCATGTGATGTGTGTAGTAGGCTGTTGCATATTCAGAATACATCATTTGTTTATGTATATCGGCGAGCGTCTCAGCTTCTAAAGGATTGGAGTCCGTCGGTATATAGGGCCTCGGGTGTCCGTTTAAAACCACGCAAGCGCCAGGCTTTATGTTTGTGTTCTACTACCTATATACCACAATCCACAGTGACCAGTTGGGGACCCGAGTGCTGCTGATGGAACATAGCCGCGTGTTGTAAAACATGATAATACGTGGCGCGGTGTGTGTCGAGCAGGCCGAGACCTTTGGTTCTGAAGAGCGCATGCGCTACTGAATGTGTGCTGCAAATAATGCGAAAGTTTAACAAAAAATTAGCGCTTATCAGTTTCCGCGAAATAAGCTGCGGAATGCGCATGTTATTCGTCCGCCCGCAACCCGCCAACCATTGCTTATAGACGACAGGATAGACATCAGGCGTTTTTTGTTTTGTTAAGTTCTACTTGGCTTCTAAAATGAAAAACTCATACATTTTTGCATGTTTTTAATAAAATACGACTAAATTTCCAAGTGGTATTGTTGTGATTGATAGTGTTCCGGACGCGCAGTGCAGCACCTATGCTCTTTTCATGGAAAGCAGTGTTTAACCCTCGCCGGACCTATTGGTTTTCTACATACGCGCCGGCCGAGGGGGGGGGCGGGTACGACCCCCCTCGCCGTTTCGCCCCTGGTGGAGCTAGCGCGTCGCGGAAAAAACGAGCGTGTGCGCCGTTACGAGACGCAGAGATTGGTACCCGATTTTAAGGTCCTAGGTCAACCGGTGACCTCTGAGGTCAGGTCAAGTGCCCCAGGGTACGGTTCAGTTTTTGGTGAATAACTTCGCAAAAAACGGTCGCAGAGCGCCGATTTTGGCAGCATCGTGTTCGTCTTACTCAGGCGCGTCGAACGATATACTTTTTGTCCGGGTCAGGTCAACTTGGGGTGTTGACCTCAGGTCAAGGTCAGGTCAGCACCCCCAGGTCACGAAGCGGGTCGAAAGAGGTCATGTCGCATATCATTCGATTTGGCAGGTCTTCCTGAGTCCATTGGTGGCTTTCCCGACTCGCTAGCTCAATTTGATCAAGAGATATTGACGAAAAACTAATATGACCTTGATGACGTCATAAATGACGTCACGCAAGGTCAACATTGCAAAAGTGACGCATCTAACCTTGCAAGGAGTGCATAAAATCACGATTCTGTGTGCTTGAGATAGTTTGAGATCGTTCCCGGCGTCAGAATAGCAGTTTTCATTTTCCCCCGTTGACTTATAATGGTGAGGTCACGAAAATGACCTGACCTCATATGACCTTAAGGAAAAATCCGAGATATACAAGTTGTGGGACTCATAATGGATACTAGATCCTGCAAGTTTCATTTCCCTGTGACATCTCCTCTGGCAGTGAGGGCGTTGCCGAAGTTGCGGCATCTGAAGACCGTGCAGAGGTTCACTTATGACGTTATAGGTCAGTGACCTGACCTGACCCAAAAATGCGGTTGGTGTCAAAAGATGCGGCTTGAATCAAAGGTCAGGTATGCCAAGTTTCAGCTCTCTATCGCCAGCGTGTTAGGAGCTATCGCGAAAAAACCCTATGGGGGGGGGGGCGGCACCCGCCCCCCCCCCCCTCGGCCGGCGAGGGTTAAAAGCATGAAAATTGTCTGTTTTAGTGGTACGGATGCGTTCATGTATTTACATCGTCGAGCACTTATGCCCGCCCGTTTGATGGACAATCCACCCGGTGCCTACTCAGCAGGTACCTACCTCAACACCGCGCAATTACGATAAAGAAGGCGTTGAAAAAAAAACGACAAATCAAACACATTGTCCAAGTATGGTGGATTAGGTATTCTAAGTTAAAACTAGCGCACCACCTCTAAAAAAACCTTATTAAATTCTCATCGGACCTATTGGTGTTCTAAGCTAACCCACACCCGAGTGGGGATCCCAGTTAACTTCACCACGACGCATGCAGAGAGGGGATTCATTGTCCCCGACTATAATAACGTACTTCGTTCCGGCGGTACGGAAATAACGTGTTTCCTTTACGTCACACTATCCCCAGGTTAGAGCCCCCACGGCACAGTGATGTTCCGGTTAATGGCACTGCTATTGGCCCTGCTTAGTGTTCCAGCGACCGCCGCACGGTACTTGTGACACCGATTGTACACCACTGACCACTGTGATGGCCTCCTTTGTGTGTAGATGGGTTAGGTGGGCCTGATCTTCATCTCGGCCTTCTTCAGTGTGTCATAGTCGTCGCTCCACGTCCACCACCATATGCCCGTCTTGTCCACCGTGCCGCCGTCCCGGTACCGTCCGTTCAGGCTGCTCCACCCGCACTGGTCGTGCCACCAGGCCCCCTGGCGGGACTCTGCACAGTGGGCGGACCCGCCGTCCTGGTCACGGTCACCGGTCGAGAACTTCATACTGGACTGGTGCGTCAGACTGTCCCCGGCAGTTCCCGAGTACTTGGAGACACTCAGTTTGTAGCCGTCCCCCTCAGACGAGATACGGAACCGTTCGTAGGTAGCGTGTCTTCGATGGCCGTCAAACGCCTCCAGGTCAACGCGAAGCTCGTACTGGCGGTATGATGCTGTCAGCTGCCAGGTCTTTTCTAAGCCCCACCAGAACTCCTTGGTTAGATTTCCAAAGCCTTCCTTATAGTCCGTCCACCCGAGGTAGAAGTCCTGGCGGGGCTGGATGTCATCCCTCCTCTGGATCACCGTCCATCTCCCTCCGGCAGTGTCCATATCGCAGTACGCCTCGACGGGTGGTTGCTGGATGTCACCACTGGGCCGAAGGAGGTAGACTCCAGATGGGGAGTCGACAGGCAGGTCGCTGCAGTCACGAGGAAGGTACAGATGGTTTACCTTAGCAGCGAGGTCATCCACACGCTCCTGTTGGGACCACGTGTTGATAACGGCCGCGGTCAGCTTGGATCCTAGCATATCGACGTGGGCGGTCAAGTTACCCAGGTTATCCAGTTTGGCGGACAACTCACTCTGAGCCATTTTCTGTTCGCCCAGCTGGGTGTTGAGCTCGCTCAGCTGTGACTGCTGGCTGTCGAGTCTCGCAGTGATTCCAGTTAGTTGACTGGACAGCTCTTCAATCTGCTCACTCTGCCTGCTCCTCAAAATACTGGTGGTGAGTTCCGTCACTCGAGAGTCGAGCTGAGTCAGTCTGTTGTCCAGCGACTCCACACGAGACTCTAGTCTTCTGACGACTGGCCGCAGCTCTTGCTGAACTGCTCTAGCGATGATGCTGAACACGTCGTCTGCAGTGCTGCTGAGCAGGGCGGCCTGCTGCTGATGCTGCTGTTGCTGCGCTGCAGTCCACCCACCCAGGGCGGTCCAGAGGACAAGTGTCACCCCGATCACTGTGCTGGCCATATCGGCGCAGGACAAGGTGCCAACGGCGCCGGCTGCCGACCTCGGACTGACGGCTCCGAGCTGGCAGGACGTCTGCACAGCTCGGTGCGGCTGACCTCTGTCAGAGGCGCCACATCCGGTGACGCGGCCCGGTCCTGTGACCGACAGACTCAGCGATAAACATTTACAGTGGACACTGACCACTGCGTTGCATTGCTTTTCCACCCGGACGTCTCATCCATCACCTTGTGTAGTATACACCACACAATCTGAAGACTTTGAGCAAGTCAAAGGCGTGTTTTCAAGGGATGCGAGTGCTAAATGGTGTGGCAGCAATGAAGGTGTTAGGTAGTTAACTACAACATGATCGGGATATTGGGATAACTTTCATATTGGGATAACTATTATATAGGGACCCTCTTACCTCTAAAAGTTAACCCTCAAGGTAGTGGGGGAGTAGTAGTTTTTGTAGCGCGGAGGCTCTTCGCCGTTCGGAGCGATGCCCAGACATGAATAGGTACGTACATGCATTTATCTACTTGTCGCGAATTCAGTTGCGAATTCAGTTAATTTTTATTTTGAATCGTTTGTTGATGGTAAGATATACATAACACCTTAGTTTAAACAATGTTGTTGTCACCTTTTATACAAAAGCAAAGAGCTATATAGTTATTGCACTCGGGATAAATTAATCAGCTACTCTACATGCATCATCCACAAGGACCAGTCGATACCACGATATGTATTCACCATATGTTGGCCATTACGAGAACAGCGCTTCAATGCAAACGTTTGTTATCCTGCCCCAAACATTCTCAAACTATTGCAGCTAGCTTCAATGCCTTCATCTGATTGACACTCATACATCACAAATATAGATGTTCACAATCTAGGGTATCACTACACTGCAGGTGATAGCGTCGGTCTCCGCCCACGCCGCCTCGCACCTCTACCCACGCGAGGCGGCGCCCCCTGACCACCGACCCGTCACGCGGGCCACAGGCGGCCGGCCACCCAACAAATGTTGGGCGCCCGGGCACAGGATAGCCCGGATGGGGTAGGGCGGAGGCTCTTCGCCGCTCGGAGCGATGCCCAGACATCTGCATTCGCTTACGTATCGTTCAGTATGGGATTGGGGCCCAATGGTAGCATCTGTGTGCCATAAAATGTAACAATGGGCGCTTTCATCTGGCGCTCGCCGGCGCGGACACTATGGCGACCGTCTAAAAACGTCTGTCCGTTTCACTGCCACTATCACGCTGCTTGCCGCTGGCGTTAGCATTGACACCAAGTTGTAATGTTCATGCATTAAAACCCTCGCCGGCACAGGGGGTGATGCAAACCCCCCTAAGGTTTTTCGCGAATAACTCGCGTAAAAAGCGGCCGATCGCGACGAAACTTTCAGTACCCTCGCATTGATCAATTTTACACCTACCCTGAAAATTTCATGACCCTGACCCCAATGACCTTTGGCCTGTGACCTCTTTTCTGTGACCATGTTTAGCCGAAATCGCGGTTCGGCGCATGTCGGCTCGCATTAGCCGCGCGTTTACAAGCTTTTCGTGGTTTCAAACGTTCAATCATGTGATTTGATGTTGCTCCCATGCATTAGGTTGGGTGTCAAGGTCACCTGAAGGTCACGTCAGGTCATTGACCTTTGGTGACCTCGGGTGACCTCGGTTCACTTTTTCGAGTTTTACATGTTTCTAGGCTAGTTTTTGGAGCTGAATTCGAATTTAGCAACCATTTGAACATTTACGAAGTAGTTTTGGTGCCTTCGTAACATGTTACGAAGCTGTCCGAGGCGGTTGACACGTATTACGAATACCCGTCACAACCCCTACCGGTTGACCTGACCTGACCTGACCCAACCTGGTCTAAATGCTTAAAGACATCATCTATGATCAAAACTAACACGATATTCGTGATCAGCACCCCCGAAAACCACATAGCAGCCACACTTTACGACTTTCTAACAGGTCCTCATTTTCCCGGTTTTCGGGTCATTGACCTGACCTGGAAGGTCACCCGATGACCTAGGACCTTAAAATTGGGTATCATCGGCTTCCTCTCGTGACGGGCAACACGCTCGTTTGGCCCCTGATCAAGCTCTAGCTCGATCAGGGGCCAAACGCGAGGGGGGGTTCGTACCCCCCCCCCTTGTGCCGTCGAAGGACTCAAAATGGCCTGTGCCGGCGAGGGTTAACCTTCCAGGCGGTGGGGGGGGGGCATTTTTTTTTGCCCCCCCCCCCCTTTAGTTTTTTTCGATATATCTCGAGAACCGCTGCGCCGATCGTCACCAAACTTTCAGTACCCTCCCGGGAGCAGCTAGCGCACGTGGTGACCAAAAATTTTTCCAAAGGCTATGATAGGTTGGCCGCTAATGACGTCAGAGTGACGTCATTTTTGCCATCTTCGACCCAAAAAAGGTTTCCCGGGAAGAGCTGTCAGGCCTACAGCTTTACAGATACAGAAAAATGTTTCAGACATAAAAGGTGTGGAATTAAAAGGGCTACAAAACTGCCAGTTCGATTTTCCGATTTTTTGGATTTTGACCCCTAAAAACCAAAAAATAGATTTTTTGAATATAATAGCCGAAAAATAAAAAAATTGTATTTCGAAAAAAACCGGAATATATGTGATAGCCCCTACCGCCTTCTTTCTACATACCGAATTTGAGATCGAAGTTGACGTAATGACATGATGTGGAAAGTGAAAATGATACCTAGGTATTGATGGAAATTTATGGACTTAGGTACGCTACAAGAAGATTGAATTGGTCAACCAATTCAAATTCAATCTACTTGTGGAGTAAGTCTATAGATTTCCATCAATAGTTACCACTTACCATTGAAGTTACTTGCTATAATGTTGATTTTATACATAAGAACCTCATTCATTTTATTTGTATGACATGTTTGAATGCAATTTTCTCAATAAGTGAAGAAAAATGTTGGTAGTGCTCAACAACACATTGGTAGTGCTCAGCTGAACATTGGTAGTGCTCGGGCACTCCCAGGCCTATACAAAACGACGCCCCTGGATCGATACCTCTTTTTTTGGCCAAGTTATAGCGAAAAAAAACTGTTCAAAATTGATGACGTCAAATTTTCAAACTCAATTTTTAGCAATTCTAGACCTAGTAGCGCAAAACAAAGACCACCATTAGACTTCCCGTGACGAGCTGCATCGAATCAATACCCAGTTTATGCAAAAATATCAACTTTGAAATTTGACCTTTTTTGACCTGACCTTGGCCTGAACTCCACCAGAAAGTGACCTAAACCGTACCTGATGGTCTTATAACCAACACCATTGAGTTGGAAATGAAAAACTGGCCATAAAACATGCATCGCATAACCTTAGTAAAGTTGGGCTCAGGTGGTGACCCTTGGTGACCTTTGGTGACCTGACCTGTGACCTGACCTGATATGACCAGTGACCTCTAATAGCAACATATGTACCTACTAGACAACTGACGCCTTATCGCTGATTTTCGACAAAATACGTTTTACTCGGTGTTATAGCGCTTTCCCTAGAAGCCCCGTTGACGGTGAAACATTTTATCTTTGACCTGACCTGTGACGTCATCGGTGACCTCGAGGTAAATGAAATTTGGTTTCTTTCGACAAATTTGACAGGGCTATCGAACACCGTTTGAATTTTCCGGATCCGTCCAGTAGTTTCGGAGATACGGGGGGGGGGGGCAAAAAAGTGCCCCCCCCCCCCCACCGCGCGGAAGGTGGCTGGTAGGCCCACCGCCTGCCGGGTTAAAATATCAAGATATTTCTGTTACCATTTGGGTGGTCGATTGTTACCTGTTATTTTGGTGAAAACGTTAAAAAAAATGTAACCAATGTACATATGTGTATACCTATAATCCATGTTGTCCATGACATATGTATTATGTGGTATGTCATCTGCACAATTTGAGACAGGGAGACATAATTGAGCCTGTTATTGTACAGTTGGAGACAGCCAAGCCATTTTTTCAGCTCTGTACATATTTGCACATTACGTATTACGGCAAAAGCCTGTTAACCTCCCACAACTTGAAAAATGAAATAAAAGGCGGCAATGGAGTTTGAAAGCAATCGCTTCCATATGAAGTAATCTTCTGCTAGCCATTTTTCCTTCACAGGCTTACCCCGTGGCCGTTCCCTTTCTTCTAGAGTGACAAAATCTGTAATACGTTTAAATAACTAAAGGGGAAATTTGGACAGGTTCTTTTTTTTGGGGGGGGGGACAAAAGACACTATATCCCACCCAACATTTTGGTTGGGTGGGACGTGTCCCCCCGTTCCCCCCCGGTGGCGGAGCCCTTGCTTCAGTACCCTCCCGTGAATAGCTTTTACACATTGGGACCAAAATGTTTCCAAAGGCTATGATAGTTTGGTCGCTAATGACGTCGGAGTGACGTCATCTCTGCAATTTTCGACCCAAAAAAGTTTCGCGGGAAGAGCTGTCAGGCCTAAAACTTTAGAGATACCGAACAATGTTTACATATAAGGGGTGTAAACTAACAGGGCTATTAAACTGCCATGGATTTGAGAGAACCTTGAATTTCAACCTAGAAAAATGAACTATTTTTAGATATAATAGCCGAAAAAAATCCAAAAAGTGGTATCAATTTCGGAAAAACGGAATTTAGGGAAGAATGACCCTATTATGCACACGTTAGATTCCAATCGCAATTGCGGCCAAATGGCTGCGCCGATAGGGGTGTGATCACGCCAGTATGTTGGGCAATCAATTGTCTCTATAATCCCAGAGACGGAACTATGATGGGATTTTAGTATGGCTATGACGACTGTCTTAACCCGTGCGGGGTTGGGGGGTAAATTTTACCCCCCCCCCTCGCGGATTTTTGCAATATCTCAAAAACGGCGGCGCGCAGCGCCGCCAAACTTTCAGTACCTTTTCTTACATCAATTTGACACGTTCCAGGGCCTCGGCTAACATGTTAACTGGTGGGCCAAATGGCCCACACCAGTGACCCGAAATGGCCCACCAGCCTCAAA